TCAAAAAAGCTGTTTTAAAAAATGTAATAAGGGGCGCCTGGGTGGCTCAGTGGGTTGGGCCGCTGCCTTTGGCTCAGGTCATGATCTCAGGGTCCTGGGATCGAGTCCCGCATCGGGCTCTCTGCTCAGCGGGAAGCCTGCTTCCCTCTCTCTCTCTCTCTCTCTGCCTGACTCTCCGTCTACTTGTGATCTCTGTCTGTCAAATAAATAAATAAAATCTTTAAAAAAAAATGTAATAAGGCACTCACTCTCAGGCACCAATTCTGCACTTCCACAAACCTGAAAGGGATGTCTCCTTAGATTTTGCACCCTACGTTCTTTGCCTTGCTTCACCCTAATCCCAAGTGTGCTCTGCATCCTTCCCCCTACCTTACAGAAAGATAACCACTTCTTATTTGTTGTTGTTGTGTTCCTTTGGAATTTTATGTAATAGGGCTAAAAGTAGAACATAGAAAATTGTTTACAAGATACTTCCTTTATTGACTCTATTAAAAAAAAATACAGAGTTCACTAGAGTTTAGGTCAAGTATCTTGAAGAGCAACAAGAAAATACTTATCTTTTCAGAGAAATCACACAGCAGAATGATAGATTTCTTCAAGACTTAAAGTCTTAAAATATCAGAGTGATGAGAGAGCAAGAGAGTCCCCAAAGATTGCTTGGTGGCAATACTTCAAGGAATTGACAAGATTTTTGGGGGGATGTCTATATGGTATACCTAGACAGAGGCTTTGGGGTTCAGATACCCTTAACCAAGGTTCCTGACAACAGCTTATGAATGGTATGCAAGGAGAAAGCTGTCAGACTTCCAAAGACTACTATGACCCTAGACAATACAGATGTTAGCAGAAACCTAGATAAACTAGAGCTATCGACTCTGTTTCCCTGGTATTATATAAGCCCTGGATGAGAAGGGAGCCCCCTAATATTGATGAAAATACAATTTCTTGCTACCCTGACAGAATGAGAGCTTTGAGTCTCCTAATTTGATTTTTTAAAACAATAAGTAAATGGATATTTCTTATACACTTGAGGTTTTTCTTTTAAATTTTTAAATTTGGAAATAATTTCAAATGAATTTGCAAAAATTAAAATAGAACAAAGATTATCCAACTATCTTTTACCCAGATTCCCCATTATTAAAATTTCCCCCATTTGATTTATTATTTTCTATTTATCTAATTATGTTTGTATATATATTTATATATGTGTATATGTAACATATATTTGTTTGTGTGCATATATACATACATGGTATTTTTTTTTCTGAACTATTTGAGGCTAAGTTATGTATCATGATCCTAAAATATTTGGTCATGTATATGTATTAGGACCAAGAGACATATTTTCTTTCATAACCACAGTTAGGGTTGCCAGATTTAGAAAACCTTGGGCAAATTCCCATCAAAAAGAATGAAATCTTTCCACTTGCAACAACATGGATGGAGCTACAGATTATTATGCTAAGTGAAGTCAATCAGAGATAGACAAATACCATATGATTTCACTCATATGCGGAATTTAAGAAACAAAACAAATGACCAAAAGAAGAAAAGAGAGAGAGAGGCAAACCAAGAAACAGATTCTTAACTATAAAGAACAACCAGAACGGAGGTGGGTGGGGGGATGGGTGAAATAGATGATGGGGATTAAGGAGTGCACTTGGGTTTATCACGGGGTGATACATGGAAGTGTTGAGTCACTATGCTGTATACCTTAAACTAATATATTTTTTTAAGATTTTATTTTATTTATTTGTCAGAGAGAGAGCACAAGCAGGCAGAGTGGCAGGTAGAGGCAGAGAGAGAAGCAGGCTCCTTGCTGGACAAGAAGTCCAATGTGGCACTCTATCCCAGGACTCTGGGACCATGACCTGAGGCACAGGCAGCGGCTTAACCGACTGAGCCACCCAGGTGTCCCATACCTGAAACTAATATTATACTGTATGTTAAATAACTGAAATTTAAATAAAACCTTTTTTTTTTTTTAAATAAAAACTTTTAAAAAAAGAACTCTGGGCAAGTTCGACCAGAAATTTAAGCTTCTGAGGGGCACCTGGGTGGCTCAATGGGTTAAGCCTCTGCCTTCAGCTCAGGTCCTAGGATCGAGCCCGGAATTCCGCTCTCCGCTGAGCAGGGAGCCTCCTCCACCTCCCCCCCCCCCCCCACCCCCGCCCCCGCCCCACCTGCTGCTCTGCCTACTTGTGATCTCTGTCTGTTGTTTTTGAAAAAAAAAATAAAAACTTTTAAAAAAAAAAAAAAAAAAAAGAAAGAAAGAAAGAAAAGAAATTAAAGCTTCTGAACTTTCCCTAACTAGGAAAACTATTATACTCCCTCTTCTGGACACACTTACACACTCTTCTTTGATTTAACGAGTTCTGGGTCTCTTTGGTCCCCCCTCAATTCTTAAGCAATAAGCCAAAGATGCCGGGCAAATTTTCTAGTAAACATTGTATGTCATAATCTTGTTGATAAAATTAAGGGCTGGTTGACTCTGGTATTGAACTAAAACTTGTATTTCTCCAGTCTTTTATAATTGCCTTATATAATTCCAACTCTTGGAAATTCTGTTGATTTCCAAGTGTTTCTCAGAATTGAATTAAATTTAAGAATTGTCTTATAAAAACCACTGCTTATCAAATTTAGTAAGTATAGAATTATCATTGGATCTTGTTAAAATATAGATTCTGACTCAGTAGCATTGGGAAAGGGCTTGAAATTTTTGTATTTTCCAGAAAACCATATAAGAGGACTTACTCTGTATAGCAAGGTTATGGCCACTTATACCACAATCAATAGATATTTATTAAATATGTTGGGACCTAGGCCCTATCCCAATGTACTGATTTGGAATCTCTGGGGCAGTGACCAGGAATACACATTTTAAACGAACTCCTAGGTAGATTTGAGAACCAATGGTTTATGGGTTTGAAACACCCTCCATCTTTTTCTCTACTTATTAATTTTTTTGTCCTTCAAAGCCTAGTGCTTGTTGATCCTGCTGCCTGTTGCTTCTATTGACCACCTCAGACTGAATTCTTTAACAGTCGTCTGCAGGAAGCATTTGCTGTTTATCATCACCAATCTTTTCTCACATATATCCTGTCTCCCCAGACACATTTCATTTTTTGAAATGAACAGTTTTGTTATATACTTTCTTATAGCCTCAGCTCCTAGCATAATGCTTGGCACAGAGTAAATATTGAATCAACATTTGTCATGGACAATAATCGTGATGATAGTGAACGATTAATTTCTTTTCAGGACACGTGGTTGTTTCTCAAGCCTTGTATGATTAAAAGAATTTGCTGATTCCATAAAGGAAACCACCCAACTGCTTAGCGAAGATTATAAATGCCGACTCTGGCACGTTTATTTTCAGGAATTGGCACTATGATCCTTTTGCACTTTGGTAGCTTGGATTTTATTATGGTAAATGGCTTGTTAAAGGAAATAAAGTAATACTTTGAATTTATTACGTCTTTTATCTGTGAACCTGAAAGCCCTCTAAAGCCATTTATTAAGTTCCTGTATAGCCATGGTGTAAATATTATTTTTTTGGAAAAGATTTTATTTATTTATTTGAGAGAGAGAGAGAGGGACCATGAGAGGAGAGAGGTCAGAGGGAGAAGCAGACTCCCCGCCGAGCAGGGAGCCTTATGTGGGACTCGCTCCCAGGACTCCAGGATCATGACCTGAGCCGAAGTCAGTTGCTTAACCAACTGAGCCACCCAGATGCCCCTGGTGTAAATATTATTACACCCTCCTTACAAAACAGCTGACTGGGGAAAGAAAGAGCTGTAAGATACTTGGCCAAATTCATAGAGCCATTTTAAGAAGGCCAAAGCAAGAAAATCAGCAGCTGCTGAGTGTCTGACAGGAAAGCCTTTCTCCCATCTCCCAGACCTCAAGTTGCGTGACTTTGCAAGGTGAGCGTTCCAGAGGAGAGAAGCCAAAGCAAGAAGAAACTGAAGATGACTTCAGTGATCTCTTCTCTTCTTCCGTAAGCTTATTGCCATTGCTCATTGTATCCCCCTCTTTTGACGCTTGTACACTGTTGCTTGTGTTATGGTTAAATGTTGACCCATCTTCCCCCCCTTAACTTCCCTATTTTTTTCTGTCATCTTTTTCTCTCTCCTCCTTCACTGCAGCAGCAAAAAGAACTGCCAGCAGCCGAGATCTAAACGAGGTTGGCACCCTCTGGTTCTATCACTTAGAATTCAATTAGAATTGAATTCTGAATTCTGCCTCTTTGAAAAAGTCCCTTCACACTCTGAGGTACTTTCCTCGTTTGTAAATAGGGGTAGATCACGCCCACCTACCTCACAAGATGGTTGAAGAGATAGAACACGATTCGTAAACTGTAAAGCATTAAGTGGATGCCAGTGTTCCCCTTACTGCATCAGTCCTGGTCTAAATTAATTTAATTCCATGGCCACACTGCGCAGCAAAGCAGGGACAGGGTGTGTCCGTAGGGAACAGCCTGCAGGCATATCTTTTTCCTTTGAGGAAAGGGAGAGCGCGGAGCTGCTGGGTGTTGTAGTCTTTCCGGCAGTCTCCACAGAGCTCAGAGAAAGAGAAGAACTTCAATTCCCGTGAAGCCCTGCGGTAACAAGCCCTTGCACCCTCCCGCCAAGCGCGTGCCCCAAGTTGAAACGGGAGGGAGAAAGGGTTCCTACGCGCGCGCCAGGGGTGCACGGAGCGATCGCTGAAGTCGGGTGCTGGCGGTGGATACGTCAGCTGATTGAGAAAAGGAGACGCGTGGGAGTTTGTGGGGACTGTAACAAGGATAAGACGCGAGGCAAGAGGCAAATTAAAAAACAACCCAAGCCCTCACCACCCTAGCTAATCCGAGCTCCGACTGCTGCAGAGTAACCGCGAGCGCGCTCTCTGGCTCGGGCTTCACGCCCCCACCGATTTAAATCATCAGGGGCGGGAAGGGGCGGGGCCTGTGGCGCGGGCGGTGGGGCGGGGCGTAGGGCGGTGGCGGCGGCGGCGGCGGCGGCGGCGGCGGCGGCCACGACCCAGACATCTGGGACTGTTGTTGTTCTCTCGCTGTGCGACCGCCTCAGTCGGTTCGTGCAGAAAAAGACCCGGAGCTGGTTTGGTGGGAGCGGGCAGCCGTATCCCCCTCTCTTCTGCTTCCCCAAAGCTGCAGCAGGAGCTGGCTCAGACACCCCGCGGTTGGTCGGTCTCCGATGCCCTTCAGTGAGGAGGGGGCGTCAGAACCCTGGTGAGCGCATCTCAGGCCCCCCCAAACCAGTGTCTTCGCGGCCCCTCAGGCCCTCACACCCCAGTCTCGCTGCCATGGCTGAAAATGCAGAGGGGGACCTGAACTCCAACCTGCTCCACGCCCCCTACCACACCGGGGATCCTCAGCTAGACACGGCCATCGGGCAATGGCTTCGTTGGGATAAGGTGGGTACCTGGTCAGCCCGGCATCGGCCCTGTCCTCCCGCATGCCCTCGCATATGCAGTCCGCCTTTTCCCGTCCCCACCCGGTGCTCGCCAGGCTGCAGAGGAGATGGCTCAAGCCACCGGGCGAGGACCAGCGGAGCCGGGCGTTGCCACCCACCTATGCTTGGGCCGCCTCCCCGGGACCGTCTGAGCCCGGCTGCCAGTATTCTCTCTTCTTTTTGCAGTGCGCGGGATTGCAGTCTCCCTTTCTCACCCACTCCCTGCCCTTCAACAGCACGTCGTCTCTCTCTCATAAAAAATAATAATTATCATCATCATCGTAAGTTAAACCCTTAATAGAGCTATTTCCTTTCTCCTCCCTTGACTTCCTTCTCTGCAAACCTGAAAGTGGTTTTTGGTACCCTTTTTAGATGTCCTTAACCGCTCTCCGCTTTACTTCTGGTCTGGCGTGTTTCCACCTTCCGTCGCTAGGTAGTCACTGGTTTTTTATCACTCCCTGGTATTCTCTAGTATCACCTTTTGCTCTTGAGAAATGTAAGCGTTCCTTTACCTCTTTATTTATCTTGCCGGGAGTTATTTTCTGGAAGTATCCTGTTCAAAGAATCATGTTTTCATGGTTTCACTTGATGTTCCCGATACGGAAGTGTTTTTGCTTTACCCATTCCTTTTCCTCCTCTACTCCTGCCACCCCCTTGGAGTTGTTGGGGTGATTTCATCATGTGCAGGCATATGTGATGGATCTGTGAAAGCCAGAATTAAAATTCAGCTCTCTTACTTGTAGAAGAGGCCGTTGGTGGCTCCAACAGGAGAACATGATCCAAGCTTTTGCTTTGTCAAGTGCATTAAATGCATTTGTTGAAGTAGAGAAGGCAATGTATTTTAAATGGAATTAATAATAGTGAATTAAGGAATTAGTATGGCAGTATGTGGAAACCATGTACACAAGAATTTCCTAAAGGATTTGCTTTCAGAAAAAGTCTTATTTTCACTTTGCTCAGTCATTAATATATTTAGCAAAAAATATTTATTGAGCATTGGGTCAATATTTTCCAAGCCTGATAGGGATGAATACTACTGGTATTCATAGAATAGAAGGGTTTGACCTCAACAAGCCTTCAGTTAGCAGATAAGACCAACAAATAAGCAATTACAATAAGTTACTGTTGCTTGTTCATAGGCATCTCGGACATTCTGTTTTTCCTCTAGAGTGTAAAACAGTGCTTCTCAAACCCTAAAGTGCTTACAGATCACCTGGGGATCTAAAATGGAGATTCACATTCAGTAGGCCTGGGGTAGGGTCTGAGATTCTGCCTCAAGGATGAGCTCCCAGGTGATACCAATGCTGCTGGTCTGTGGACCACGCTTGGAGAGTGTTGTGGTTCAAATATCAAATTAAAGAAATAACTCCCTTATTATAGGATTTGACCATATATTTTTTTAAGTCAAGTGTGCAGAATTTGTGATATCCCACTAATTACCATAAGAGTGTGTAAAAAGCAAGTAACTTTAAAGCCATTTGCCCCAGGATAGCTTAGTACAAGAGCTAATGCTTAGCATACAATAAAAACAAATGTACTACAAACTGACTATATAAATGTCTTCAGCATGGAAACCTTACCAAATTGCAAATGAATGATAATCTTATATGTTTAATAAGGTTAGTTGTTTTTGTTTAAAGCCATTCTGCTTTCATTGGTATTTTCAGGAAATGAATGTTTTTGGGCACTTATGTGTCCCTGAAAAGAGGACTCATGAAATTTGAAAACACTTGTAGAATTCCAACACAATTTAATTTACTAGTAACTACTATGTATGTCAAAGCTTTTGATCCCAGCAATAAGAATTTGTTTTCATTGCCATGGGTGAGATCTTTTGTTCTTTTTAGGTGTCAGTTTTGACTATGCTTTTCCTAACGAGTCTTTGATTTTTTTTAAAGATTGTTTGAATGAAATAATATTTATTAATTGTCTATGCTGTGTCTAGATATGGGATATATGGAAATATGAAAAGACAATAAAATTCGTATAAACACAAAAAATAACACTGGGACAGTATTTGTGGCAATTAAACATTTATAGGCAGTCTTTATAGGAATTCAAAAGTAAGAGTGACCTGTAGGCTGGGATGATCAAGGAAGACTTTATAAAATGGGATACATTTAAAAAGACTGAGGGGAAACCTTCACTGAAAATGGAAGAGAAATTCTTAAATTATATTTAAAGTACCCTTGCTTTTCTTTCTTTCTTTTTTTTTATATTTTATTTATTTATTTGACAGAGAGAGATATCACAAGTAGGCAAAGAGGCAGGCAGAGAGAGAGGGGGAAGCAGGCTCCCCACCCAGCAGAGAGCCCAAAGTGGGGCTTGATGCGGGCCTTGATCCCAGGACCTTGAGACCATGACCTGAGCCAAAGGCAGAGGCTTAACCCACTGAGCCACCCAGGTGCCCCTAAAGTACACTTTCTATATAAAATACTAGCTAAAAAAAAAAAAATACTAGCTAAAACCTGTGGAAGATACAAAAATGAAATAGATAAGGATTCTATCTTCAGAGAACATAGAAGGGAAAATGAAACAAAAGCTCACAAAGGGAGCAAGTAGTAAGTGCCCTTGCCCGGGGAATAAAACTAAATAATTTTAATAATTATTTAATAAAAATAAGAAGTAATTGATCACGCTCATATGGGAAATAATACTTTTAATTGGTAAAAAAGGTGGATTGATAGTGTGGTTAACCTAGGCTATATCCCAGGGCACTGAAATTTAGAGTGCGGAAATGTGAAATAATAGATCAAACTTACAGCATTTATTATATTACACGCTGACAACAAATATTGTCTTTTAGAACAGAAACTGAGTTTACTACCTGATTAATATCTCTTTAGTGAAAAAAAGGAACCTATAAAATGTGGCTGATTCTTAATGACTCTGCTTGCCCAAATCACCAAAATTGCTAATTTTAGCTGTGGTAGGGTGGTGTACTTAGAAAAGTCTTCATGAAAAAAAGTATTATTTGTGCTAAACTCTCAGAATTAGTTAAAATTTGGATTTGCCAACATAGAGAGGAGCTATTCCAAGCAGAGATAGAAACTTGGTGTACTTAGAACATTTGTTTCTGCTGTAGCTTTGGGTGAGAGATAGAAATTATTGGAAAGGTATGTGAGACCAGGTCATAGAAAAGCTTCAGTATGTGTCTAGTGGCCTTGAATAAAGGTGTATGTAAGTGTTAAAAAGAAAATAATGCAATGAGACCGGGTTTTTATTGGGGCAGTCTGGGGGACCCCACATAGTTTCTGTGCGGTGGCATTCTGTTGTTTAATTTACTGTAGTTCCTTATCTGACCCTTAGTTTTTATGCCTTCAGACTTTGTTAGTCTTATCTCAGGATGGATTGACCTTCCTCAAGAAACTGAAACTGATGTTTCAATTCAGAATGCAATTTTATTAATTTAGGTTATAGATGTAATATAAGTGGATTTGTCGCTAGTCAGGGTATTTGCTAGACGTACCATAAGGGAAGTCAAAGACTAAGAAGATTTATAGTAATCATGAAATCAGATCACAGGGATTCAGATACATGCTTAAATGTTTAACAGCATTGGCCAGTAATAAGTAAATGCATCCATTTCTATGATGGGACTATCCTACCACTGGAACCCAACAAGTCCGAGGTTCAAGATGTTCCTTCTCCAGGTAATGCACAGATGACTCTTTTAAAGTGCTCTTTCCCTTCTATGCTCTAGGGCTAAAGCCTCCCACTTTCTTCCTACTTTCTTTCAATGTTTTCATACATTGTATCACATTATAGACAAGTCTTGACTGGCCTAGAAGCCAGATTCTCTTTAATATGACAACCATTACCTGTTTCTGATCTACTGTAAATTTTAACTTTTTGAAAACATATAACCAAGATACTGAGTACTGCTCAAGTTTGGGTGTGTGAATGTGTGGGTAGGGAGTGGGACAGTACAGGACAGCGCTGTTCAGTCAGTTGGAGGAGCAGCAGCTATAGATTGACAAAATGTGCAGGCAGAGATTGGCCATGGCATTTTGAGAAATAGAAGGTAGAGCACTCTGGTGTCAAAATGTAGGTCTATGTTGAGAAAGGATAGAATGTCAAACTAAAGATGAGTTAGGTTAGGTTAGGGTTATGAAATGCCTGAAAATAGAAATAAAAGACTTTAAGCCAGTGATTTTCCGATATCTAGCAGTGAAACTTTTTCAAGCAAAATATAGCCCAGGAAACTAGTGGTGAATGAATTCCCTTTTAAATCATCATTGTGTGATGGAAAATATATCCAAGAATCACATCTACGAAGGCGGTCTAGTGTAATTTCATTGTATAGAGACCTGAAGAAGTTGTGGCAGAGCCTGGACCACAGCGTCTATCTGCCACCTAGTTCAATCCAATTTTTACAATACTAGTTTATATTACTCTTTTTGGTTCACATTTTTCTAATTAATTTGGTCTTTAATCATTGAAGAGTATGGAATACATATGGCTTTATTAACTTGGGGAAATATTAGTACTTACTAGTTGAATTTATTTGTGTAATGTTTCAAACTTTTGTAAAATGATCTAAATCTCATTTGATACTCACAGCAACCCTGAATGGTAGGCAAGCCAGGCAGTAGTTGTCCCCATTTTTACAAGTAAAGAAACTTAGTTTAAGAAAAGGTAAATGACTTACCCAAGGATGTATGACTTTTAAGCAGTAGAGTTGGGACTAGAATTAGAACCTGACCTTTACTCTAGTTTTCTTATCACTGCACTATACTCTATAACCTGAATATTTAGTAAATGTTAGTGACATACACCAGGTTCAAGGACTTCATTTAAAGCTATTTTATTGGCTTTTGTTAAACCTGAGTAGGATGTAATTGCAGAATAAATGTCATGGAATTTTTTTTAAAGAGCTAAATTTGCAGATCAACAGTTTGCTTTGGTCTCCCTGGCAATAGCATTCTCCCTCTGAGAAATTTAGTGCATATAAATAAGGGT